GGTGAGCATGACACCACATGGTCTGGGATATCCCATGGGTCAGTTGGGGTCATCTGTCCCATCTGTGTCTCCTCTCAACTCCTTGCCCACTTCCAGCCCTCACACTGGCACAGCAGCGTGAGCAGCAAAAAAGGCCTTGATTCTGTGTAAGCTCTGCTCAGCAATAACACGAACATCCCTGTGTTATCAACACTGTTCCCAGCACAAATCTAAAACACAGTCCCAGACCAGCTAATGTAAAAAGAATTCTCAGTCCCAGCCAAAAACAGTACACTGAAAAAGAGTACTCTTCATCAAATCACTTTGATTTTCTTCCTATTTTGAATCTTTTTGATAGTGAAGACTCTCCAGAAACCATGTCACAGTGTCTCACAGTCTTACAGTATTTCTGTGTCTATCAGTAGTGTTGCAGAATGCTGTTGTTTTCCCATTGCTGCATCTGTTTGAGAATGTAATTAGATACAACCCAAAATAGTACATGGTGTTATTACAGAGCTGTGCACATCCATTGTTCAGAATAAATAGTATTTATTAGCAATAAAATGCATTTGGGTAGTTTTGTAACATCAGTGAAATTGATGATATAGACGAGAATACAAAAATCCCTGGGGCATGGTAATTTCATTAGAATTTCAGGAGGAGGAGAAGATACTGTTGGTTGGGGGTGGGGGGATAGTTTACTCTTGTTTCTCAGCAATTAGTGTGTAAAATTATAACAAAGCAATCCATATAATTATAAATTACATATATTGATTGTGCTTCTCACACAGTCCTCCGCCTAGCCCCTCAGGAACGATGACCATTACTGCTGGACATGCTCATTACCATTCTGTTCCAGTCTATGAGATGAAGTTTCCAGATCTTTGTGTGTATTAAGTGTCTTCTGAAGTCTGCTGGACATTATTTAGAATAGAGTACAATAGAAAGAACAAGATGAGTTTTCAAATTTTATTGTTTGCTGTATCTAAACTAAGTAATATAATGATGGACATGAGCCAAATACAGATTACTTTAGCCAAATTCATGAAATTGTCTTGAATTGTTTTCTTCTGTAATATATTGTAAATTAGGTTTTTCATAGATCATGTTGTTTCATTTTCATCTTTGAGTACATGTAAAAGTCAGATATAAAACTTGTCTTGCCATACAGGTGAATATTTCAGTTACTCTAGGAATTTGTGTTGCTGCAAATTCCTTTAATTGGAGATACTGTAACTGAAGAACCTGTTAAATCTTTTTTTTTCCCTTTTTTTTTGGTTGGTTGGGGTTTTTTCTCATCTCCACCTTAATTCTATGTCTAACTAGAATGCTTTTGCCTTGCTTCATCTCATTAAATGTAACCAGTGGAGCACTCCCGGTAGCTCCCTTTTGTTCATACTGTCATAGCTAGTCAACTTGTTTGGTTTGAAATATATGGAAAAAAAACAATACCTTACATGTGTTCAAGTACAATGAATGAATTAATGGACACTTGTTAAGTATTTTTTGGATGCATCACATAACATGCTTTTTAGGTAGATATGCCCAGTATATGTCCTGTGTTTCTTGCTAAAAGTTTAATGCTTTGCATAAGAGAGGAGAAATCTCCTCTCGAAGCAAGAAATTGTGCAATATTTTTCGTGTCTTAAGGTGTATGGTTTACAGACTGTACTTTTGAAAACATAGTAGTATTTTACTGTCTGCTTTAGTATAAATACACGAGAGATATATTTAGTATAGCAGAAAATAAACTGAGGGCATTTTAAATAAGAATTAATGAAATTATAAATATATTCTATGAGGCATTTCTCTGTAGTTTATTACAGCTTTTTAGTGATATTTTAGAAATTGAAAGAAAACTAAATGAAACCATTTAAAGATCAAGAATTTATTACATATATTTTCAAGCAAAAGCATTTTTAGAGATGCATCTCTGTGTTTGTTTTTGTTTCATTTCTCAAAACTTTAAGGTAACTTTCATAGGTTTATGTATCTGAGCATACTATTGAATGTAAATAAAGTAAAAGTGATACAGGAAATCACTGACATTTGATGATAATTGCCAAGACTGTCTTTATGACTCACTAAATTCTGCAGGCAAAAAAGAAAAACAGCATTCATTGATCCCATGCATATTAAGTTTGAAGTCCCTTAATCTCTCTGAATCTGACTGAAGCAGCACAAACATGAATGAATGCTCTCAAAAATCGGTAATAAATGTAGACATTTAATTTAGCCAGTGGTTTGCATGAACAATGATCAGGCCGTGAACAAAGTGATCTAACTTCAGTTAGCCCTGCCTTGAGCAGGAGCTTGGTTTAGATGACTTTCAGAAGTCCCAACCTAAATTAATCTTTGATTGCATAACTCTGCCATCTGAAGGGTTATCAGCCCAGCTAATTTGCTGACTGTTTGAAGCACTTGCAAACCCACTGTAAGAAGGATTTTAAGTTTTTTGAACTGTAGTTCAGCATTCTGCTGAACTACTTTTAAAAGCCTGATGTGACATAACATCAGACAAATATCAGCTACTTAAACCTATGAGATGACATGCTGAGACTTTCAGAAGGCATTCACAAAGCTCAAAAGGTAATTGAGACCTTCTTTTCAGTTTAACAGTGCAATCACAGCTGTTAGTGGATGACGAAACAGCCCCTTATCTACAGCATTCCGTTGCGATTTTTACTGCTGCAGCGTATCAGCCTGATCAGACCACAGTCTACACATAAATAGGACTCTAGCCTTTAGTTTTCTTTTTCTTTTTTTTTTTTTTTTTGTAAGGTAAGACCAATAGCTTTTTGGCCTATATAAAAAGTGTAATTTTTTAAACAGTAAATCTAACCTAGGGATACAATGTAAAACATTTCTCCACGCTGTAATTTTTTGAGAATATCACTCGGCACTTTTGTACAAAAAGAAAATAAGGAGTCTAAGTAATAAAGAATGTACTTCTGTTTGCACTTGTGCAGTATGAAGACTATGCTGTAAATACAGGATTGTTTCTGTGATTGAATTCTGTTGCATGAATGCTGCATGTGAAAATAACTAGATTCAGCATTTCATTTTCTGTTCTTTTTATGAAGTATTTTTCATTTATGCTAATGGCAGGTTTCCATGTTTCCAGTGTTCAAATGAGCTTTGTTTGGTAAATGCAGGTTTTGTGCAGGGAACAAGGAGCTTGTAACACTCTGCGTGTTCACCTGATATTTAGTTTCTTCCTTTCTGGAAATTCAGGGAGTCTGTAAGTTGGTAATTGGTTCACTTTGGCCTTTCTAGACATATGGGTGATGGGAGAGACTGTAAAATGTATTGTTTTGGTAGCTATTGTTATAGGTAGCTAATGAATGAAACCAAAAGAATTAAGAATGCTGTTTGTTGTACAGTATGAAGCTGCTATGTTTCACTTCTCTCTTTATGTTCTTCAGACAAGTTGCAGAGCTTTAAAAGCTCCTTATGCAAACTGGTCCTGTTTTATCTGCAACATTTTGTGCACTGTCATAATGGTTATGAATTGGTACCCAGCTGTTTAAGTGTATTCCAGTGCTTTGGGTTCTCTTTCCCATTATGTCATTTTGAAAAAAATATAGCTTTTGTAGTGGGTCACTTTAAGGTAAAGTAAATCTGTGGTAATTTCAAAAGATAGAAATAGCCTGTTGTCCAAAATCACAGTAGGGCTAATTTGTCTGTTGTTCTGATGGTCATATATTCTGTACTGTATGTAATGAACCAGTTTCAATAAATGTAAGAACACACTGTGCAATCTATATTTAAGCAATAAAATAAACCAAAATTTCAAATTAATCTTTTCTAAGGTGTGTCAGTTTATATTTACTGCTCACAGTTAAGATGTCAATGACATCATTTTTAGCATTTAAAATAGAGCTCATTTTACACAGCATTTTACTTGGTTTTGCAAACGTTACAGCACTGCAGCATTATTAAAATACTACATTTATTTACTATTAAACCATTGCTGTTACTAAGACCACCAGAATTTGAGAGTGCAGCGATACAAAAATAATTTTCTAATAGCAAATAAGCTTTGACAAGATAAATAACTTGTGCTTTTCAGGCCTGCCTTGCTGGTTAAAAAACCTGTTGGGTTTATAGTGTCAATTCTAGTCACTTGATACAATTGTGTGAGTTTTCTGCCCCTTGTTTTGGAGGTACAGTCATAAAATAAATCAGGCTGGAAGGAACCCAGAGTCCTCCCAAGTGACTGGTGACTCGGAGCTTACCTGCTGCTGTTCCTGCTTCTTGAGCCCTGTCCCTACACAGAGTCTGGGAGACCTTGCTGATGGGAAGGCACAGCAGAGGTTGTTCAGTCTGTGCTGGGAGGTTTTCAAAACCCAACTGCATGCAGCCTTGAGGTACCAGGTGTGGCCTCTTAATTGACCTGGTTTTAGCAGAAACTGTATCACCTCTGAGGTCCCTTTGAGTGCCTCAGCTGTGTGTGTCTGCTCTCCCAAACCACCCACCTCCTTCAGCAGGTGTCCCACATTTTGGAACAGGCTGCCGAGGGAAGCAGTGGAGTCGCCATTCCTGGAGGTGTCTCTAAACTGGAGAGACATGGATTTGACTGATGGCCCACTTCATTGGATAAGGAATTGGCTGAATGGTTGCATTCATGACTCAATATCCAGGTGGAGACCAGTGATGAGTGGCATCCTCAGGTGTTGGTATTGGGACTGACACTTCTTAACCTCTTTCTCAGTGACATGGACAGAGAGATTTGAGTGCAGCCTCAACTAGGTTTCAGCCATCTGTGCCCAAAATCTGTGAAAAATATGATAAAGTGACTGTGAGAATGAGAAGAGAAAGAAGAAAGCTATGCTCTTGATCTTTTTGACATTTTTCTGTTATTTTAGCACTGATCTCTGAGAATCAATAAATACAGCTAATCATAGCTAGATTATTTAAGACTTCTCTTTATCCTCACAATTCATGTGATAGTAATTATGGCACAACTTGGTGCTAAATTTCACCTGAACTAAGAGATACTGGAAAAAAAAGCCCAAAGGAATTAATGACAACATTGCCTGAATAACAGCATATTTATATTGTAATTTCTCTGTTACTTGATCGATTCAGATGATCCATCCCTATCTCTGCAATCGGAAAATTCAGCGTTGTTGAGTGAGTATGTGCATGTGTTATTTGTATAACCATGAAGTTAATACTGGCTTCTAATAATTAGCAGAAAGGAGTGAGTTTTTATTTTAAGGTGCAGTGTTCAGAGCAGCAGCACTGCTCTCATCAGAGAAATGAGCTGGTGTTATAATTGCTCAGCAGTGCACTTCATTCACTTGTTTAAAGGCCAGTTTTTCCCATTTCAGCTCATTATCTCACTTTTTCATTGCCGTCTTTATTTATAAATGCTGTGAAATATAAAATAATTTTTCATCCCTAAGATAAAAGGCTGATGAAAGTTCCAGTGTAATGCAGATGTCATCCTCAGCATAGGGCAAAAATGGCATTTTGCAGTTGTAGCGTTTTGCTTCAGAACTGAGATGTCCTCTTTCTTTACAGCATAAGGAGGAACTTAATTAAAATCTTGTCTGCAGATAGAATTTCTCACATCACTTGGCTGTCCTCTCTGCCTTCCCTTAAAAAATGTCCTTTTATTCAGTTTTGTTTTTTCACTAGTGCTGGTGGTGTAGCCACTGGAATCCAGTGGGATTCACGTGACTAAGCACCTTTGGGGGTTTATTTTGGGAGTGTGTGTGGTGGTTTTTTTTGCTTTTGTGTTTTGGTTTTTGGGGGATTTTTTGCACTGCACTAATCCTTTGCAGTTTGAATGTAGGAAAAATACTGAGAGGGGTTTAGCACCAGCCAGAGGTTTATACCATATAAACTGCTCATCCAAAAACATTCACTGGAGTTTTCATCTGCAGTTCTCACACCATTCAGTTTGCACAGATCAAATGCTGGGGCTTAGGTAACTGCTGCATGATCTGGAAAAACACAGGTAGCATCTCTGTATCCAGCATGAGGATACAGTCATTGGTCTTTAAGGAAAACTTTGGTGACAAAGTTCAGCCCTGTAGAACGAGGTGATAGAGAAGAAATCCAGACCTTTCAGAGCATCTGAATCCCTGTGAAGTTTGTAGAAAAATTTTTATTCTAACAAATGTGAGTCATAGAATCATGGAATGGTTTGGGTTGGAAGGGACCTTTAAAGACTTGTCACAGCCTGATACTACCCCTCTCTCCCTTCAAGTCTGTTTTAAAGCTTGTCAGCCCTGATAGCTCATGAGCAAAAACCTTCTTTCCCCTGTGAGAAAGGTGAATCCCATCTGACACCAGCAGGTCTGGTGCTGTTACCAGAAAACCCCAAAATTCTAGCAGTGACACCAACCATGGAGACAGATATTAATAGACTGGGTCTGTCTGTTTCTGGGGGCTAAAAATTACCTGTGCTCCACATTCCGTGACCAACCATTCCAAGGTGCTGAAGTCTCTTGATCACCCTTGGATTACACGTCATGACTTCATCGCCCCTCACATGGAAGAACAGTAATGAGTAATAGTCCAAGGGCCATACCAACCTGGGAATTTTCCTAGTGATGTCCTTAACTTGGGCCCCAGGGAAGCAAGACACTTCCCTAAGAGAAGGGTCTGTCCAGCATTTTGGACCTTCTCTTCCCCTCAGAAGTGAGTCACACACAGCTATAGATAGGAATGGAAAAAGGAGCTCATCTTCATGTAATTACTTTAGCTTTCCTTCTGGGTGTTTCCTGCTAAGCTCAGTAAAGGAAGAATGTCTGCAAAAGGAGTTGCAGTAGTTGCAGATTGGTTTAATTAAAAACCTGAAATACTTAGCCACCATCAGCGAGATTCAGTCTGAACCAAGCACAGAGTTAACAAAAATCAGTCTGTGATCAGAACAGGTTTTACATAAAAATCAAGTGAAATTATACAGAACACTGTCAAATAATTATTTAGTGTTGTATCTGACCTAGATAGATGGTCTGTAGTGCTGACCTCCCTACAGTAATGAGTTAATACAGCCTAACTCTAATTCCTAGTCTATGATTACATCATCTGTGTGCTGTGTAAGGCAGCCTGTAGAGGGTAAGGAGGAGTAAGGTGGCTGACTGCAAAAGGCTCCGTGCTGCTTCCCAAGCCCATGAAGGTGGCTGGTTATCTGCCTCCACGTCCCACAGTTCTGGAGTTCCCAACGGAACGGCGTGTCCCTCTCTTTGCTCTTCTTAATTGTTTCCGCAGTGGACCCTCCTCTTCACTGCTCTCCTCAGAGCTGGAAGCACCTGTGCCTGTCTCTGTGCCTACTGGGGGCCTTTCATAAGGGTCACTTTGACAGAAGGCTTTCTCCTCCCGGCACTCCCGCCCGTGTGGAAGCTTCAGGCTCTCGTTGAAGAAGGCAGAGGCCATGCACTCGGCCGCCGCCGTGTCGCAAGCACAGAGGAGTTTCTCACATATGCTCCAACCAATGCCTTAAAAAGAAGAGTTTAAGAATTAATGTTTGAAAGCAGTTAAAATTAGCCAATGTGTGATAAAATTTTCAAATCTGCCTCAAATTTTAGTCTCCAAATTCACCTTTAGCCATCTAAATACAAGCCTGACACCAAGGTGCTCGGCAGCAGATGGTCCAACTGGCTTTAGTTGAATTTGTGAATGTAAAGACACAAAGAGCTGACTCCTGTCTGCAATTACAAAATGTCTGAATGTAATTTTCTCACCCTGATCTGGTCACATCATGCACAGTGGTGTAATAATCTTTGTCTCAACTAGGAAAAAAGCTCTAGTTTAAAGTAAATGTTGCAAACTTTTTCTAAACTAAATAATTCTGTCTCCATACTCAGCCCTAGCAGCTCTCAGTCATGGTGGCACTCAGTCTGTCATGCTGATAGACTGTCAGGACATGAGAATTTCCTCTAACACAAACTTACATTTTGGCATATGATCAATACATAATACTTCAGATCTGGAACTTCTTTCTGCATGACATCCAAGTTTCTTAACTTGTTCCATACAACAGTGATGAGAGAAGCAGCATCTAAAATAAACAGTAGATGTAAATGGAAAATACTTAGACTTCCTGCATCCCAGAATGCTCACAATTATTTGTAGGCCTTTATTTTCTATGCCCATTAAAACTAAGAAATTTTAGAAATTATAGAAATTTTCATACCATGGATTTTTTTTTCTATAAAGAAGAAAACCCGAACTATTCCTGCTTACCTTCTATACTTGTTCCTACTTTTTTTAATTCCTTCCTAATTCCTTTGTTTCACATGTTTAACAATGCTGTTGTTTTTTAGGGGGGGTTGTTTTAATTTTAAGGCACATAATTACAATTGTGACCATGACCTAATCTGCCATGAGAAGTGTCTTGCAGTATTCAAATCTTGGCTGAAAATATGAAAACTACATCACAATAGCCAGATCACTAGCCTTCATCTAGCCTAATTTTTCGTGCATGGGCAGTCTTGCTTGTGTGCAAGTGTAGGAAAAAGGTGTGTGCTGTGTACCAGGTGCTATATTTAGACCTGATGTGCCCCAACTTCCACAGAGGGACAGATTTTTATTTGTAAATACAATACTCTCAGAGGAGATGTCTTTACTTTGGTTGAATTCTCTTCATTATTCCTCATTGACAGCCGTGCCATAACAGCACACAGGCATGGAAGGGCTTTGGGCTGCAGCTCCAGGGGGACTTCAGTCCAGCTCTTCTCTCTTCTGAAGGACAGTGCAGTGTGGGTGGATGTTAACTCTTCATAACTCACTTTCCAAACCACCTGTTAGCCAAGTTTCACTTGTCCTCATCCCTTTTAATATACCCTTCCTTCTGCTCTGCTTACCTGCCATCATTCTCCTTTCTTATTTTGAGTTAGTAAGTCCTCTCCAAAACGCTGTCGCAACAGTAGAATGGGTCTTAGTGACATCAGAGTATTTCATGTGTTAACGTATTTAAGTGGATTTTTTTTCCCCAAAATGTGACCTGACTACTGATACGTAGCTATTCAATGCCCACCAAAAGATGCACTGATCTTTTTTAGTCCCTGGGCACCACGATAATGCCCACAGTTAATGGCAAACACAGAAGAGCCCACACCTGTCCAGTGCATCGGTGGGATGACCTCTTCCCTCTTGGCCACAATAGCAACCATAAGACTCAAATTCCTCTGGGCATCGCTCAGTTAAGCAGAACAGCATTTCTCCAAGCTGGGGCAGCTCCCTCTTCGCTCTTCCACTTCCCCTCTCTTGCAGAAAGGTTAATCGCTCACACACTGTAAAGCAAAGTTATTATTTGACACATCATGTTTTCACTGCTTGGGGGCTCCCTTGTCATGACAAAAGTGTTTTCAGAGCTGTCAGAAACTTTGAAAGCCAACACTTTATAATATGTAAATTATTGCTCCAGTCCATGAATTATGGCTCTTAGAATTCTGCTGAGCAAGACAGCAGAAGGATAGGGAAATATTTAAACGGGAGAGAGATTTCCTCTGAAAATATAATTACAAGTCAAATTGGATTGCAATGAGAATACTTTGCAGTCCTTTGTAATCCTTCATGGCTAAATTTTTCTTCTGAGTATTCAGTGGCTTCTGTCTCAGCTGATTCAGCAAATACCCCTTGTGCTTGCACAGTGATAGCTGGGCAATGACCATGTTGTACTGGAGGAAGCAGTATCTTTTTTGGTTTCATTTGAAATATAGTTCAATTCAATCTATAATCCCCCTAGTCCAGATGCAGGAATGATCTGTTGTAGTGCCTACTGTGGTGCCAAGGTTTTGGCATCACCATGTCCCCATCCTAATGTCTCTGTGGCTCCCCCCACTCAAGAAGAACTGATGTTGTGGGAATTATTCCTAAGATTTGAGAGAACACAGTGTTCCATATCAGAAAAACGATGTCAAGGGGGACTCTTCTGAGACTTTGCCAGGGAAAGGACTTGAAGGGACTGATTGGTTGGATTGGAGGAGAGATATGGAGGGCTTCTGTTCCCTCTGCATCCTCCTCACTCCCATAAGTAATCCCATTTTCCCTTCTGCAGCTCTAGACTGACTCCCTGCTTCTTCCAGGGACAACCCCGGCTTACTGCCTCCAAAAAGAAATTCTGCCTATATTCCTGCTTGAGTCTTCACTCTCTCATGTTAATTCACTGAGAATGAACCACAAGGTTCATGCATTGACATGTGCTCTCTAACAGCTGATATTTTACAATCAAATTTTCCACTTTGGTGGAAGATTAGTTTGAGTCTTCATGTCTGCTCTTTTCCAGTTCTGGGGCTGCTTCTCTCCATTGGGAAACCAAACAAGATGGATGGTACAGTCCATGAGTGTGAATCTACAGCAGTATCAGGTCTGAAATGTCTTGAGATTTCTGGGATCTCTGAGCAGGAATGGGAATAGAATCAGAAATGGTGAGAAAAAGTCTGACTCTGGCAAGACTTGCAAACGGTCAGAATGAGGACCAAGGAAGTTCCTAATATTGCTTCTGCTTCTGCTGTAAAACAAGGTAACTTAAAAATGTGATTAAATTACTGCCTACAAGCAGTAGGAACTGCCTAAAAGCAAGTGGGAACATTCACTGAGCTCATTTTAGATTTTGCACTGTATGAAAAATGTTCTTATAACCTAATAATAAGTAGGTTCTTTAAGTGTTAGTGATAGCACATTGGCAGAAGAGGTTAAGCTGACGAAAGGTTTTGCAGATGTCTGCATCTCCTTTCTTATAAATACCAATACATCTGTGCTTATCTAACTGGTTTAGAGTTACTATAATCTCTATATGTAATATATACCTACTTTTAATATAGAGGTAGATGAATATTTTATCAGCTATAATGGGGAAATAACCCCTTATTTACCTTTTCCTGCAGGTTCATTAGGTCCCCTGTCAGACAGTCCTGGTTCCAGAGCTATTGCAGAGGAAGCTATGCTTGGGCCACCCCTTGCAGGACTTGTCTCTGGAGAGGACAGATGCATAGATTACATTTGTGAAGGTAGAATAAATTCTTCTTTCAGTGATGTGTGCACATTCTGAAGGATAATCAACTGGCAGTCTTCTAAAATTTTTAAATTTGTAGTGGGAGGCTGTTCATTAAATGTTAGTTAAGCTTTCCTTGTCAGTTAAGCTTTCCTTGTCCAGTCAGACTACCCTTTCCAGGGTCAGTCAGTTTTGTGCACCCCGCATTCTATGTAACCTATCCAGATTTAGGGAGAAAATAATGTTAGTCTACATATCCATGAAAAATGCTGACTCCTCAGATAGCTGTGAACAGGAATAGGGGAGTGCTATAAATTAATTTTTTACTTGCCTTTTTCTTTTGTCCTTGCAGATGTGCCTGTGGAAATCTTCTCGGTGGGGACAATTTTGACTTGCATCGAGTTAATATCTCCTGGGAATGAGGCTGGGGAGGTGGTTATTGCTTCCACTGGGGCCACAGCTGCCATAAATCCATCTTCTTCTGAGCAAGCAGAAACAGGAAAGCAGAAGAAGACGTGGAAAATAAACAGCAAGATTTTAATTTTAGATAGCTGGTCAGAGTAATATCCTCAGGCAGAACCAGTGGGAATTGATGGTCATAGAGAAAAAACATTCAACAGGAAAATTGGAAAAGCAAAGAGTATCCACACTGGTCATTTCTTCACATCCCTTGCCTTTCAGAAGGAGGGACTGTTGTTAACGATGATCAGTTTAACTGCTGATTTTTTATTTTAATTTTATTTATGTGTACTGAGAAAAAGAGCTGTGCCAGTTGCTGAAAACCATGTTGGTTGCTTCTTAGTCAGCTGTACTGAGAGATAAAGCCCAGGTGAGATGTCATGAGATGTCATTTTCTGAGTAAATTGCTTTAAAAAAAGTGTCTGTTCACCTGAAGGTTCCAAAATGTGGAGCAACATTAGTGAAAGCGGGAAATTATTTGACTGATGCAGAGCTGGCTGACTGAAGGGTTTACTGAGTTGTAAACAAGGAAATACCAAGGGCAAAATAATTTGACATATAAATACATTATTTTCAGGAGATTAGTTTAAAAATTAAATTGGTATATATTTATTGTTGAGCAGGAATGTTTTGTTAGATTTGTGGATACTTAACATCCTTTTTTCTTTCTTTTTAAACCTTTTTTATATAAGCTAGCTTGTAAAAGAAAGCACTGTTATCAAATGGTTTCATTTTTTCTAAATGTCAATATGAAGCATGTGGCATTTCACAAACTAAATACTTTGAAAATACCAGTGAGCTTGAGTTTCAATATTTTAAGAGCTTTTCTTTTGAATTCTTTGGCTGAAATTTTTAATTGGACTAAACCCAAATTCATTAAACTTGTCTCTCTGATGTTCTGGTTTTAGTATGTTTTGAAAATAACCTGTCATAGGACAAGAGAACAGATTAGAAGAAATGAAAGTACTGCTAAGAACACAACAAAGCCCATGAAAGGTGGCAGAAAGCGATCAATAGTCACACACTAGTTTTGATGGCTCAGCAAGATGCACATTTTATACCACTGTGGCAGTGATGTGTTGAAATGAAAGCGATTCTTGCTAGATTTAAAAAATAAACCCAGAGTTTGGGAAGTTCTGCACAAAGAATAAATATTACAAATAATCTCCTGGGAGCTGTGCGGGCCTGGAACACAATACACAGATTTTCTGATACATTCAAATTAAGGGGGAGAACATTTAGTGATTTTCACCAGTGTTTGTACAGTAATGCCAAATTTCTGCACTGAGGTGGGAGACAGGATACTGCTCAGTGTAATCAGAGTCAAAAAGTGATTACTTTCTACTCTCCATATGCGGTGTACCTTGACATTTTTCTGGTGCATTTCATTCTGTCTGGATAATCCTTTCTACACAGAGAGGGCCACAGAAAAGTTCCAAGTCTACCAAGGTGCTCCATTTTTAGCTGTACCTACTGGTATGGCTGTGCTTGAAGCACAGACACCTGTGAAAGCTGAAACAGGTTTTAGACTGGTAAAGAATTTGATGAAATTATCTATAATAAAGGAGGAGGCAAAATCAAAGTGAACCCTTCTGGCAGCGGATGCTGTGAATGTAATTTACAGCACCAACCATTACATCTGAAAACCTTATGTGAAGAAGTTTTCAGAAATACTTGGGTGAGGAGTGCAAATGAGTGGCTGGAGGCAAGAAACAGCTAATGCTTCTCAGTCTGGTTTTATTGTTTGTGTATCTGCTATCTGACCCTGATCTAAATTTGATTCTCTGGCAGCCCTGTTGTCACCATGCACAGGGTTTTAACTGTGATGCTTTTAGAGAAAGAATTGCTGTGTCAGTCAAAGAAAGAGGAAAGCTGAGGGTCACTGACCTTTTATCGACAGGATGGGAGGAGCAGGAGCTGTTCCTCTGTGGTCCCTCGTGGTTACTGTACAAAAAACAGAGGCATGGTGGTAGTGACCTACCTGCTGCATTTCTGCTGTGCATTTCTGGAGTGACTATTCCTGAATGCATTATGAAGCTTAAACAAACATCACTATTAGCGTGGTTTTATAAAAAGGGTAGTTAGGAGAAAGGAAGTGGTTTGCTGAAGGATGTGCGAGTCAGCAGAAGTAGTAGAGGTGTTATCCAGAAATCCTGTGCTGCAGATTTTTGACTGTGACACCACAGAGCTTCATAAATGAAAATCCAACTTCACCTTGAGTCAAGACCACCAAATTTTTAATAGAAGTTTAGTCAGATTCTTACCTCTGGCTTTGGGAGTCACCAAGATCATTTCACTGGGCTCAAAAGAAATCACTGTTGAAGATAGAAAATGTAAACTCAGAAAACAAGTTGCCAGCACAGACTCTTATGAATAGTTGCTAAGAGATTATTCTGAAAACAGGAAGACCCAGGCATGTCATGGAGAGAGATTTGCCTATTTTTTTCAGTGGTGTACTGATTGTTGTAGACAAAGTGTTATTGATAAAATAATCTCATTGCTGCATGCAAATAATGGACTTTGCACTAACATAGGATTATGTTTCTATGAAAGAAGCTGCATAAATATGACTGAAGTGGGAAATTCAAAATGAAGTCCATTTGACACACAAATAGACTAAACAGGATTAGGTCTGAAATCCCACTGTTGTGCACAGAAGGATGCCACATTCCTTGTGAACACCTTGTGTTTGCCTGCACAGATATGGGCGGGCAGCTATAAGGCCAAATAACTCCCTAACCTCTAATTTATTTCTTTACCTGATAAACTGATCATTTGTCAGTTACCTTTTGACAAATTAGAAGCATGGCTATCAAAGGATCCAAAAAATCATCTCTGCCTCTTTTTTTGTGTTGTTAGGGCTTTGGGATGTGAAGAAGAATGCCTTTGCCTTTGAATGAGTTTCTGAGTGATACTTAACTTGTGTTTAATGCATCTTCCAGAGTTGTCAAACTGGAAGCTCCTTTGGGCTTGAACGAGGAGAATTAAATGGTAGGTGGTTCTCCAAATGTCTCCTTCAAAGTCTGACTAGGTATGTTATCTGTGATACATTTTCAGCTTTCTAAAATTCCTAGTACAGGTTTTTATCCCTTCGTAATATTTTGAGCCTTATGTTGGACTTATGCCTCTTTAGAGAGCATGAGTAATTGTTTTTCAGGAAGTAAAAGATTGCTGCAGATGTGCAAATACAGGTGCTCTTGCTCCTTCAGGAGTTCTCAGTTTTCTATTACCAAGCTTCCCAGAAGCAGCTAGAAAAACATGGACCAAAACTGGAGCTGTTGCTAGGTGAAAATGAGAAATATCTGGTAAAAAACCTACTTTGATAATACAGGAGAGATATGAAGGAACAGCCAGCACTTACACTCAGCCTTTTCAAGTACACACACTTATGCCTGTGCTGTTTTTTAAAAAAATAATAGAAAAAAAAAAACTTTAAAAGTCAGAAGTGTTGTTTCTTAAAAAAAAAAAAAAAAAAAGTAAGATTCTGTATGGTTTTCATTATTCCAAATTGACACTTAGGGCAGTGGCTCACAGAGAGGAGCACACTACACCTTGAAACCAGGTCCTGAAGTTCTAAAAAAATGCGACTTTCCACCTCTCCCCAGGCAACCAAGTCTAGTGGAAGGTGTCCCTGCCCACAGCAGGGGCATTGGAACCATCTGATCTTCAAGGTCCCTTCCAACCCAAAGCATTCTGTGATTTTCTGAGTTAAGCAGTGGCTTGGTTGTACCCACCCAGTGCTCATATGCTTGGCAGATAGGGGGTCTCTGAACATGGCATTGGGGCTTTGCTTGTAAGGGAGCCTCATAGCAAGAGTTCAGCAGCTAAACTGGGCAATGGCTGGTCTAAGACTTGTCTCCGTCTCTATTTCCTGCCTGCAGGACTTGGCCCTCATTTATCAGGTGTGCCCTTCCAGAGGTCAAGGGCTTTGGGTGACTTCTGTCCCTGGCCTCTCGTGTTGCAGTGCTCACCATGCAGGCAGGAAGAGAGTAGTTTTCTCATACTGCATGTAGTGGGGGAAAAAAAGTTTTCCTGCTGGAGTTAAAAGAAATGGTAACCCCCTCAGGGGGTGGTGACCCTTGGGGTTGAGCCAATGAGCGCTCCTGCAAGATATAAACATATCAACAGCCAGACTGGAAAAGAAGGGTAGTAGTTGTTGTTGAAGTGGCCGTGTTGTAGAGCCACGAGGAAGGGGCCCAGAGCCCCGTTGGGGGCTAGGCCCCCCCAGCCCCAGCTGGGGGGCTGCAGGAACTTGGACAGTGTTAAACTGGACTGAGATCTGTAGCTAGAAAGCTGAAGGAGTTTTCTTCATCGTGAGTGGGCAGACGGAGCAGCAGCAGAAACAGCACTGACCGGAGAACAGTGGCAGAGAGCCAGAAGGAGATAAGGAGCAGCAGGGATGGCATGCAGCTAAGGAAGACACAGAGATCTCTAATGGAGAGAGAGAGAGCAGAACTAAGCCCTACAGAGACAAAGTTTGGGGTGAGAACTAAAACAAACCCCCCAAAACCCTTTTGTGACCTCTCCTAAGTGGAGGGGGTGCACTCCTACTGGATGGAAGTCCTAAAATGCAGCATGCACCGGAGAGAGGAGCTGAGAAGCTCAAAGATGTCCCGGAACTGGACTGGGATGGCCAGATGGAATGCAGAGGGGGTGACCTTGCCCCCCCCCCCCACTGTTACTGCTAAGTTAACAGCCTGAGACAGAGCACGGGAGCTCTGCAAGGGAGCTCGAATCCCCTGAGGATAGGGACTGTCACGAAGACTCCTGCACTCGTGATATGACGTGGTGAAGCGACCTTTGTCCTGGTGAACGCAGCCCACGGAAGAGAAAGACCCTTGCTTGAAGTCGAAGGGCTGAGAAGGGCTTGGAGACCGTCCTCGTGTGTAATGGAAAGAGATCCAGCTACAGCTGCTGCATGGAAGATAGAAGAGAGACTGCTGCCCTAGAGAGACTGCTACTCAAAGAGTGGAAAGGATCTTTCCTTTTCCCTTCTGGACTTTTATTGGAGGGAGAAAAGATTGATCCATTGTAAATACTGATTTATCATAGGAAAGATAGTTAAGATTATGTATATGATGTATTGTGATATTTATTTGTGCAGTCATTGTAATATAATCCCCTTTCCCCCCATACTGAGTCTTGTGTGGTGTCTGGAAAACCCATCTCACACTGGTTGAGATGTGGGGAGGGGAGCTTGGACTTAAGAACTGGATTTTGGGGGTCTCAAACTACAACACTGCAGCAATGAGTTTTTGCAAGCATAGACTCCTCAATAAGACAAACACTGAATGTAGCAGGAAGAAAAATGAAGACTGTCACAAGAACCACTTGGTCTCATGGTTTAGGGACTCACCCAGGAGGCACCAGAGTGAGAAGAGTTCAACCTGGATCTCTGCATTACAAATAAATAAATCACCAAACTGCTGCCTCATTGCCACAAACCATGTTCAGTATTTCCTCGTGCTCTTGCTTGATCTTGTGGAATTAAACAAACATCTCTTTAAAGACAAGAAATATGCAAATAGCTGTGGGTCCAGTGGCTGGCACCCACACAGCACGTCTCTGCCAAGCAGCTCACCTGCTCCAGCCTGTGTTCCCAGGGGAAAAAAAGGCTGTTTGTGAAAACAGATTTTGTTGTAGAGTGCTCATTCTCAGCTCTTGGGAAACTTACTGTAAACACTGGTTAAACACATTACATGCACAAATTGAAAAATTGCACCTTCCCATTCAGTCTTGAATTCAATCACCAAAACATTGTATCTGCTTCTACATCAGTCCTTTTAGAAGGGCTGAAAGAAAGTGAACAGCTTGTATTCTTTCAGCTTTTGGGAGCTGAAAACAGAGCTTCTTGCACTCTAAATTGCAAACCTTCTTCCACAGATGCAGTCACTGCCCATGTTTCATCAGTCCCACGATGAAGGAGCTCTGCAAAAGGAAAAGCATTGTTAACTCCAGAGACTCATGGCTTAGGATGCTCCTTAGGCTGGATCTTGGCATAACATGATAAGAGTCATCAAAAGAGAATTTATTTCTAAATATTATTATTGTCCTTTTTGTGCAGTTATTTTATGATATAAATATAGAAAATATAAACCTAATTATTTATAATTACAGTAGCAGTATTAAAATTCTGATTTAGTACTTATACCATGCTGATACTAAATTCTACTCAGCAACATAGAGTATAATAATAAAAAATAATCTCAAATAGTTTCAACATAAAAAATAGGAATTGGCTAGCAATCACCATTCTTTAAATTCCTGTTTCAGCAGGTTATTTTTCTGAGTATAAATTGGTCTCAATTTAATATGTTCCAGACAAAGAATTATAGAGATGACCTACCTTCTGTATGACGTGTTGTCAGCTCTCTGTTGCTGATTGTTTCTGAAAAAGAGAAAGGTCTCTCATAAAGTGTGAGAAGGGGATCTGAATAGGTTTGATCTGAATAGGTCAGGCATTCATTGAATGTATTCCTATTAAAACAAAGGTTTAGTCAAACACATGCCCATTTCACTAAAATTTTTCTCTGTAATAAAGAATCTACCAAAATCCTTTTCCTGTAAATTTACCAGATAGGATTTTTTCTCCCCAAAATCTGAACTGAACAGAATAGCTACACAGAAGGATAGTAACATGACTGAATACTAAATAAAAATATTTAATTCAAAGGCTTTTTTTTCGTATCAAGAAATATAATCGAGAACCTAAAATCGGTGGAGGTATCCAGGACCTAAAAATTAATCCATCTTTATCAGCAGTGGTAAAACCAGCATGATTTTCCTGTTAGCACCTAACAATTTCCCCTTTATTTGCAGTGTCTTGGAACTACCATACTGTATATTAGGGCCATCTGATCCCAGTGAAAGATTAATGTCTTAAAAAAAAAAAAAAAACCAACAACAAGCCCCAAAAAAACAACCTGGCTTCCATGCAAACTTGCCTGGGGCATTTTCTTCTCCCTTGACCTACTCAGGAGGGGATGCACACATCCAGAGCATGATACAGATGCCTGATCTCAGCACCGAGGTCTGTGACTATGAGCCAAAAGGATTAGAAAAGCTAACGTTGCTTTTTCCCATCTCCCTCAGTTTGGGAGTCCAAAGGTCCTCCCCCTGCCATGCTCCAATTGCAATCCATAGGAATGAAGTTTTTAATCCAGCCCTGCTCCCACAGGGCAGGCATTTGGTCTCGCAAGGCTGTAATTTCAGCTACAGAGCTGGGATCAGTGTATGACAATGGACATAAACATCCCCTTCACCTTTAGCAGGGATTTTTCCTTCCAAAATGGAAACCAAGTAACTGACCAGAATAAGCCTGTTTCTCACTTTTCCAGGGAAGATTTTGGCCAGCAATATCTTTAGCATTCTTGCTAGTGACCTCATCACACATATCACTCATTCATTCCAGCTGCAAAAAGCCTCACAAGGCTGACAGGACCTTCCCGAAGAAAAACATTTCTTCGTATCTAACTGGAACTTCCCTGTTGTAGTTGTGTGTCTTGCCTCTTGTCCTCTCCCTATGCACCTCCAGGAAGAGTCTGGCTCCATCTTCTCTACACACCTCACTAAGTACTGAGGACAGCAAAAACATCTCCCCCTAGCCTCCTTCTCTTTCATTATGAGCTTCAGCCCCCTCCCCATCCCAATAACCTCTCCTGGACCTGCTCCAGGACAGCAATTGGTCTGCTGCCTTCTCCTCTCCTGATATTCACTTGAGTAGCAGAAAATGGGCAGGACACATGAAACTGAGAACAGGACAGACTGCCAGGTTTATGGCGGGAAAGCACCCAGCTACTGCTTCATTCTCCTTGGGTCAGATTCGATACTGGCAGACAAACTGGCAGGAGGAGGCAGTGGATCAGATCCTTATTATTACCTGTAATTGGAGATGGACAGAAGGAGACATCCAGCCCATTCAGGGAAGAGTTAATATGTGCATTCACAAGGCATTCAATGGCATCTTTGTCACAGGTGCAGAGGAACTGTTCACAGGGATCCCCAGACTCTGGAAATAAAACAAAAATCCAAACAAGGCACTATTGAAAAACATTTTCCACCTGCTTTTTCCTCCTTGTAAGGTTTGTGCCTGTATTCATCAGTGCAAACCTATTTATACTGAGCTTCTCCATGCCAAACACAGTCAAGTTTCATAGTCCAGCACTGGTTTTGAAACACAAACCAATGAAGTCTGGCATGCCTGGCAAAAAGATTATTGCCTCTCTGGTTCATTTATAAAAATCAGACCTTGACGCCTCAGAAGAGAATTGTTTTTCAGGTCTCTACTCGGCATCTGCTGCATTTCTGTTGTGTGGAGACGTCTCAAGCAGTGTTTAGTGGTCCTGAAAAGTCAGGGAAACCTCAGGGAGAGGCTGCCTGCTGCAGGAGCCCTGGCAAGCCCTGGTGGTTTCTGTTTAATTTGTCTATGACTTTTGGTAGATAGACCAGAATGCACTTCTGGTCATAGTGAGGCTCCAGTGTTAGCTCTTGTGACAGGTTAATCTCACCACAGGTCAGGTTTTCAGTAGAGCAGCTGACATCTGTAGAAATCTTTGATGGGTCCCATGTGCACTCCATGTCCAGTGCTTCCTCGTAGCACTTGCGGTGCTGGAAGCAGCATCTTAAGAACGAAATAACAGAGAGTTCTCACAATTTAGTTTCAGTTCGAAGTCAGACTGTAATGCTGCCATGTTGCTCTTGCACAACAACGCAAAAGGTGCTAAAGGAGAAAAGGGGGATCCATGGTGTGATCCCCAGACAAAAGAAGGGCTGGGTACTGCTTTTCTCTGAGTGAAAGTAGTCAGATAAAGATATCTGGATTCAGCACTGAGTTGTGGGAGCGGGTCTGCGTGCTGTGTGTGACCACACATTTCTGTCCTGCTGTGGTACCTGAGCTTACAAGGAGTCTACAGACAGCTTAAATAAGAAATCCACTATCAGTGCCCAAATACTTCCCCCCAGCACTGTCACCTCACTGACAAACATTGTCCCATGGCTCGACTCTAGAGGTCTTGGATGCAGTCCTGTCCCAACCTTTCCCATTGCAAATTTGGAGAACTACTCCGAACCTGGCACTCATGGAGGGTTAATGGCTTTGCAATGCCTTGCGGATCCCTGTGTCTCATTGGGACTGCATAAATACAGGTACTGTCATCCTCTATTTCTTTTACTTCTATGCAACAATTAGAATTAAAATGCATCATTTATCCACAAATAATTTTCTCACACTGGAGTGAAGCAGCTTTCTCCTACCTCCACACAACACAGGCAGTCAGAAACCTTGTGTTTTCCTACACAGTTGCTGTCCTGCAAACCTCAAATGCCTGCATGGCCACTATAGCTGTGAATAGCAATAAAAATTCAAGTAAAACAACAAGGTCTTCATCAATCCTCTCCTCTCTTCACCTGTTTGTACAGATAAATCATCTGCTTTTATATAGTAGCAGCATCTGTGTACACTGACATCAGCTGTAAATGAAACACCAGTAAAAGACTGAAGTCATCATTTAAACCATGTAAAATTGTTGTATAGATTAAACAGAAGTTTGCTGTTAGATTGAGATTGAAATATCCTCATTTCAGAGAAAGGGACTCAGCATATGGGTCTGTTATTGAATTGCCATTGGCCTGGACCATGCCAAATGTAAAGACAACATGAACACCCACATCCAGCAGCTGCTGCCAGGAAGGGTGAACTTGTGATCACAAAGTAAGGAGTTGCATTTAGTTAAGCTCACGTGGGATTTTTGTTAAAGGCACAGTGAAACATGTTATTACACATCACCCACAGCCCTGAGGCACCAGGGGACAAAACAGTCCCGCGGTGATTAGAGCACAGAGCAAACACCTGTCCCTTGCCAGGCTCCCTTCTAGGCTACAAGTGCACTTTCTCACTTTCTATATTTAGAAAGCATTTAATATTTAATAGCTTACCATATTAATAAATAATGATTACAATATTTAATTTGTCCTCACAACCAGGGGAGTCCAAATAATGTAGCTAACAAATGAAATAGCATTCAGCAGAGAGGCCCTGGTGGCTCCTCTGCACCACAAATTCTACCGTGCCTTGTTTCAGAGGTGAGGTTGAAGTTTGTGAGCTCCATCAGGAACAGGGTCTTAAAGATCTAGCTGATGACATGTCTCAAAACACTCCTGTCTCTGCCTGAGGTCTAGTGATGTGTTAGCATTTGAAAGCTCCTCTAGCTGCATAATTAGTCTAATACAAGCTCCATGCAGTTCTTGTTTGTTTAGAGTATCACAATTACATCAACACTTACTGCACCAGTTAATCCGAAAATTTACTTACTTTGCCTTTGTAAGCAGGAGATTGTAAGGCATGGATTGTCCCCTGGTCATGCTTCTTTTTCATGTGGACTATGGAGGTAGACTAGGCTCCTAATTTAGATATGACAATTAACTACTCTGGGAAATAGGAAAGGGTTGGTTTTATAGGCACTAAGGCACTTTCTAATGCCTTAAGAACCTGCAGTGAGGTGTTCAGCCCTTTCCTGTGGAACAGAAATGACAGGGACAAAACCCAAGGATTGCTAAACTAGTTTTTAAGAAATAAGTTAGTGAAAAAAGTTGCAACACTTTGGGAACTGTCTCTGGGACAAACACATAACAGCCACTGGTTTGGAGGCTCTCTTGAGCCAAGGGCACATCTGTGTCAGTGGCAAAGCAATAGTCAGTCCCCGTTCGCTGCACACGGCAGTGAGATTTCTGTGCTGCTAAGAATACCTCACCCTGGGGCTGGAAACCAATTTGTAAACACAAACTGACTCTGTGGATGTTTCTCAGGACAAACCTGCTGATGGATGGTTCTGTAGTTTCTGGTTTTATGCTGGTCTACATTAAAATAAAGCTGAGTGAAGCAAAAGCCCAGGTGCTCAGCTCTTTGGGTATCAATCCATTGAACTGACTCGAGCTCTCATTTCAGGATGTCATCACAATTGTTCAGAAAACCTTTCATAGAGAAGTTCCATGGCTGTTTTCCAGCAGCAGAGTTAGATCTCCATTCTCCCAGTCATCCCATGTTGCAAAGTGGATGGATTAATTTCCATCTAGCTATAGGCATCAGCCTTTTCTGAGCCATTGCTGTCTTCATGCAGGGAATTAATACACTATATTGTTGGAAACACTTTTTTCTGCAAACACATAAATGTATCTTGATTCTCTTTGAATTTCCTTTTAACCCCCCTGCTGACATAAGTGAACAATGATCTGATTGTCCTGGCCCAAGATTACATTTTTTCTCACTAGCCCAGTCAGTCTGGGGCAATGTCCCTCCAAAGCACAGAGTGGAGTTTGGATGGTTTTTTTCCTGGTGCATGGTACTGAGAAGAAACATTGAGCTACATTGCTCTTCTCTGGCCTTGATGCTCCCATGTCTTACAACCTTGTCGTGTACAAAGGCACTCAGGGCATGATCTACTTAAGCTCCTTACGCCACCTAAAGTCATACTTAGCTGTAACCTGATTCTGCTGATGCTTAAATCCCCCTCAGATGCCAAGATTTTTATTAGAGTCCACTGTGAACTTAGATTGCTGGTTTATTACACAGCCCCCAATACCAACAGTTTGGTAAAACTGCAAACCCACCAAACTGCTCAGATTAGAGCTCCCCCACTCTGTTTATTAACAGGGTCTCTAGTTTTTGTCACTGATTTACTTGTTCTGGAGAATTCCCCAGTACCAAGGAATGAATGAGGTTTTGTTCACAAAGGTCTGTTCCCAAGCCGTGCTCTGAGGCAACTGGCACGAGCTGTTGGCCCAGCAAAGCAGACAGTGCTCACCAGCAGGTAGGAATAACACAGGAAGGGCTGATAGACCAGACTTGAAGTTATCTTTCGTTGGTCACATCAGACATTCCAGTGGCAAGTGAGTGATGATTAATTAAACAGAGCCAGATGGTGTGGGTCTTATTTACTCCCAAATAATTTTTTTTTTTCACAACTGTCTTGAAAACATTTACACTCGTGTTATGCTTTGGATAATCAGAGCATGAGGGTATTTAGAGACAGTCAGGGCAGAAAAGGACATCTCATGGATATGACTTACTCATCAGCTTCATCCACGGGGAGCCCTTCCATCTCAAACCTGCAAGAGCAACCATAGTCTTCAAAATCCCTGGGGCAAAACCCAGTAACACACTTCATCTTGTTCACAAAGTTGAGAAGGGCAGGGAAGTTAGTGAAGATGGACTGTAACCAGGTGAAGTGAGAACCCAGGCAGTCTGGAAAGGGAACAGTCATAAAACACATGGTAAATGGAGGTGAGCCAGGAGTGGGTCATTCACATTCACATGAAGCCTACACAAGGCAGTAACACAGGGACATTGAGCAGTGCTTGGCACTCAGCAGTATTTAGTATTACAGTAGTCTTTGGGGAAATCTACAGCTTCAAAAACTCCTGTTTCTTCTCAGTAAGGATATAAAAGCAAACTCTACAGGATTTCTGTTCAGTGCTCAAGTACAACTGGAACACATACTTACCAAAAAATAATGCAACACTTTCCACATTTTGAAAGACTCCGTTGAAGAGTGTGGCATTATCTAAACGAAAAAAATAAACAAACCACACTTATTTTTTAAAAAAGTAAATGACAGTAACTGTCTCTAGATTGTCCCTGGTCTTGCTTCAGGTGTTAAACCATTCTGAGATGAGTTCCCAGCTATTTGCTCACAGTCCACTTCCCTGCAATGCTTCTGGAGGAGGAGGGATTCCCCACTGCCATGCAAGAACACAGAAAGTATAGTTTAAACCATTCTTACTCAAGATTCTCTCAGGCGTGTTAAGAAGCTCTGGCAGGAATGCTGGTGGCTCCAGGTCTTGGCCACCTATCTCAGCAAACAAATTTCAGAAGAAAAAGGTTTTTAAAAAAAAAACCACAACAACACAGTAAACCAGCAACATATATTTCATTATGACACATACCCTGCAGGCATTTTGAACACCTTCCTGCACTGACAAGCTGATTTATCAAAGCCATGAAGCACTTGCTCAGCTCCACCCACACCCAGGAAAGCCCAGAAGCATAGAGGTAAGTCACATCCACTTCAGCTCAAAAACCAGTCTCTATTAGACAGGTATTGCTGTTGAGGGTGTGCTAACCTTTGTCTTCCTGTGCTCACCTGAACATTAGCCCTTACTGGGATAAATCAGGAGAATTATTTAAAACTATTTTAGTGCCCAACTATGCCCCAAATATTTCTACTCTGTAAACCTGTGCTCTTATTTGAAGCAAGGTTATCTGAAGACAAGTTGTTTGGTTTTTCTGAGTCCTTTTTGGCTATTACCTTATTGCCTCATTGCCTCTCTTCCTATCACTATTTATTTATTCATGAAGTTAATTATCTCTTTTTCTTTTTGAGGATGCTGTGGTATATTTGGTATATTTTCAACACTTTCATTTTTCTTCTGTTTGCCAAGTCTTGAATTAGAGTGAAATCTAATACTTGTTATCTCCCTTCCCATTTTTTTAACCTGTTCTTTTCCTCTGGATGATTTTGGAAGAAAATGTGCTACTTTGGATTTATTTAAATTTAGCTTTTCTTTAAAAAACATAGTAAGTCAAGGGTATTTACTGTCTCAAGAATCTAAAAACTGAAAACTAAAAAAACCCATAATGTTAAATATATGGCATATCTTATGTCTCAGAATAACTGGCATTAGGAAAGCTGTCCCTTTTCTCTACAAAAGATTCTGGGAAAGAGTTCTCTTACTCATCTGTTACATTTTCCTGCCATAAATATAGGTGGAAGAGAGTAAAGCAGAGTAGTGGTTTTTTAGGTGTAAAGCTTAACTGCACGTTTAGCAAAGGATTAGGAAAAATAGGATTTTTTTTTTTAATCACATATAAGGGCTTTCTCAGGATGCCCACGACTTTTGTGGCATGAACAAGACGTTCATGGTAACAATCCAGCAATTCATTTCTCAAGTTCAGTTGCAAGATATGGATAGGGGATTGAGTGAGGCAGAAAGAGGTGCTACCTCTTGTGTTATTCTTTTCCTGAAAGCCTTAGTCACAAGAAGCTTTCAGATAAACAGTAATTTGTCAGAAATGTCCATCATTGCAGCAGATCCAAGGGGAAAAAATTGCTTTCCACAATCCAGAAAAGGTCTCCCGATAAAGGCTGTCCTTTTCACAGAACTGGAACAAGTCTGTTGAAAGCTTGATGGCCATAAGGAATTTAGATTCAAGAAAAATAATGGCATGATTTTCAAAAACAGCATTGAATGCTATATTTGTATATATGCTTGCTAAAGAAAAACTGATCCTTATTTTCAGGCTTAAAACCTGTATTTCCTCTGCAATGACAAATATCCTTCCTCTGAGCTGTGTTCTACCAAGTGTATCTAGGGCCAGGTTTGCATAACACCATGGCTCAAACACAGTGTCTGTTGATGAACAGCCATTGATCATTTAGTCTTTTCAGCAAAACTTTGAAAAACATGAAAATCCCATTCATTTGAAATGCATCAAAAGAGAATATTGATGGAGCCATATTCCAGGGCTGCTGGAAGCTGTGATTGCTCCAGTATCCTTCACTTGCACTTAGTTCTTCTCAGCAAACTGAACTGTACACACAATTAACACATAAATGTTTGAAGTTCCCCCTGGAAAAGAATCTCTGCCACAAGGGCAGCAGCTTGGTAAACCATTGGCTCTTCTAATCCTCTCAATTACAAAGAACAATATTTCCAATTGTCACTAAGTCAAGATCAATGAACCGATGTTTGCTAACAAGATTACTCACTTTTGTTTAAATTGGGGGGGGGGGAGAAACAAAGAGAAAATACTTTCTGGATTAATTATTCTCTTTTCTTCTTTTGGTATCATGTATTTGGAGCTACTGGTCCTGTATCATTCCCTGTTCAGCCAGTGAAAGGTTGCACTACAAAACTCAATCCTCTAAATCTCAGAAGCCCCTGAGGATGTCAGCTTCTCTCAACTTTCTCTAAAATCTGCTAAAAAGCTTGGCACATATTCTGAGACTTGTGTCATACATCAGCTCTTGGGCTTTCCCTTTGTATATGTTATCCATGGAATTTCTTTCAACATTCAGTTACGTGTAAAATTGTTTCTGCATCTGTGACTTTCCTAGTCTGACAAGAGTTTTCTGAAGTGTTGCCTGAAAAAAAGTCCATCAAAAAACCATCAATGTACCTCCAGGTTTGTTTTTTTTTTTTTTTTTTTTCAATTGTGGCTCATTAAAATGTCATAATACAGGGCACAGCTACAGTCATTATATTCCTTGGGGAGAAGAAATATCGATTGTGCCAGGAAAAGTCAGGGTGCATCAAACCCAACCTATTTGATTTATTCAAGGTAAATCACATTAACTCCTCTCAAAGATGCTACTTCATGTATGGATATTTGCTTCAGTCTCAAAGCAGAGATCAGCAGAATAGATCCCACACAAATATAAATCAATTATCCTCTCCAAACCTAAACATGGTAACATTTTAAATCTTTGTGCTTAGATTGTGCTTTTTGGGGTCTCTTTCAAATGTTATGTGAGAAAAATTTATGAGTGACCAGATATTTTTGAGTGCACTATCAACATTAAAAAAATTAATAAAATTTAAATATTTTGTTAAAAAATTCTATTAAAAATTTAAAATAATTTTTTAAATTAATAAATGGTGCAGGTATTTTACCATTTTCTATCACTGCAGTGGGAAATGTGAATATTCTCACTGATTTCTCTCCATATAGGGGAGACTTAGAGTTCAGCTTCATCAATATATTTTACCCTGTGTGGTTTCTTGTGTTAGATCCAGGGGTTTTTTTGAATTCCAATGCAAGCAACACTCAGAAGAGAGGCAAATGGTGAAGCTGAAGTAGGTCAGTGCAGAGTTTGTTCTGAGCTTTTTTTTTCCCTTTAGAAATAACCCCGTGGATTGACCAGAAATGGTGTTAGACCTTCTAAGAGTCCTTCTTTTCACAACTCTTGCTGACATTCATACACAGTGCAGGGACTGCAGAAATTTGAGATGTTCCCCCATCCCTGTCTCTGGGATGTTCATTCAATCGTAACAATAAAATCTAATGAGTTACATGAAGAAAAAAATCCTATTCATAGTAAAATTTGCAAGAGGAGCTTTATGTGAACAGAGGTTATATTTCAGGATGCACTGAGTAGTTTGGAGAATTAAGACAATACACGTGTACTTAATGAGTAGAATCTCTGTATATGTAACCTGCAATTTTTGGAGTCTAAAAGATTTAAATAGACCAAGTGCTAGCAAAGGGAAGTAGCAATTTTTTGGTTATATTTTTAACCCCACTAAATATTTCTTGCTTCACTAGATGTCCTGAGAAAAATATTTTTATAAGTACTTCATAAATAAACCTATTTAAGTGCATTTGGATGTTGAACAACAACATCCAAATTTGAGGGGAGAGAAGGCGTGTTTCTAAAGGATTGTTTCCAAATGCTCATACTTAAAATAGTATTTTGGCATAATGTCAAATAATGATAAAAATACATTGCCACTTACCACTGTACACCACCACAGACATAGACATCAGCAGAATTACAATCATTTTTTGTTTAATCCAAAGACAAGAAAAAAAGCCACACAGCAGACTGGTGTGCCTGGTGAGTTAAGTAAAATATTAGGCAGAATGTTATCTCTTGACTCTGGAAGTGGGAAGACATTAGCTTAGAAAATCATTCTTTTGTAGCCTGAATATATTTCTGCTTGATACAATTAATTTTTTACCCTTATCATAGCAAATGCACATGTTACAGAAATGATGATATTTATGTATCCTTCAAATTTTACCAAAGTCCTCTACAAATCTGACTGAAAATATTTATTTTGGTGTTGTTTTAAGTGAGTCAACAGACTCTGTGAAAGTGCAATTTATCATCAAAATGATGCAATTCAAAATTCTTTTGGTTTGCAGTTTTCACATTTTCCTTGATCTAACAGGATGTTTGAACAATTCTTTGCATGTTTAAATGCAGATATCATGAAACACTGTGTAAATGAAAAGATATTCTGGGATTACTTCTATTAACTCCAGTTAATCTTCAATGCATTATATGAGTTTGTTTCATATCACAGAAATCTCTCCCACTTTGTAGTCAAACATTTTTTCTAACCTGTGTTGAGACTGATCTAACGTATCATAAATTTTCCTAATGATAGGAAAAGATCTCCATGATGTTTGGAGATCTTCAAGTTCTGGCTGTGCTTGACCTTACAGAAATGCGTAAAGAATTCTTCTGAAGCTAAAAGTCTTGAATTGATATACATTAAATGGAAGATTGTTTTTTAACTACAGTCACAGGTTACTCTAAATTTAGAATGATTTTCCAAGTAAGTCAGGCATGGAGCTTTTTACAGACAAATAAATGAATATTTATGTATCAGTTTTCAAATATGTACTTCCTGATGATTATTTGTTTTCTAAGTTCAAATATTACATTCATTTCTGTTATAAAATCTTGTAATATTTCATCAGGAAGTGAGGTTATAAATCTAACAGCTTTAAATATTTATAGTCTACTATCCCAAATTTCTCTACCTACCCTTTATTCTACAACTCCACAGTCACAAATAGATTATTCTACATCATTTTCCTCCTGATTCCCGTATTGTAGAGTACGCTGAGAAAGGCTTACCTTGAGGGATATTATTCAAAAGCAGTTGGATGGAAGACAAATGGATTTCAACAAAGTCAGTACTAAGTTATTTATACCCACTTGTATATAGATGTCACCCATGTGATCACTTCCTTTATCAAACTCACTTCAACATTTATTAATTAATTCTTGCATAAGATTCCTTAGAGTCATTATGCCCACAGTGTATTTAGCAATATGGCTCCAGCCATGTAAAGGATCTATACTGAGAAGTCTGTTCTGCAGGTGCATTCACTGTATAATAACTTTCCCTAATACTCTTGGCTGTAATTAAATAACAATCATCCCTTTGTTATTAATCACTCACGAAATCTCTTGGGCATGTGAATGTGGCTCTAATAGCTTAGCAAGAGGTAGTGTTCAGTGATGAAAGATGAGTGAGAATTTACACAGCTTTAAACACTGGCATTCCTCAGGGCTGAGAAGTCTGCTCTTGTCTATCCACGGAGTCTCTGATCCAAGGCTGAGACAAATCCAGGGAAAGGTTGAGTCAACGAGCTTTGGGAAGGCTTCTCATTGGGAAAGTGTGCTTTCTGCCAGGGCCAGACACAACTACCCTGTAAAGAGTCCATCAACAAAGGCAAACTGTTCACTGAATTTTGGTATGGAGAAGTTTGACAAATCTGAAATTGTGAAAATACTCACATGAAGAAAAGGCTTGGCTCCTTCAGATCCTGTGAACTACATGGTTTTCAGAAAGGCCTTTGACACGGTGGCCCATAAGATCCTCATAGAGAAGGCGTTGATATCTGTGCTGGACATGCCTGGTGAGGTGGGTTGAAAACTGAATGGTGGGGCCCAGAGGGAGGCAGTCAGTGGCACGAAGTCTATTTGGAGGCCAGTGACTAGTGGTGTGTGCCAGTGGTCAGTGCTGGGTCCAGTCTTGCTTAGCATCTTCACCAATGATCTGGATGATGGGGCAAAGCGTACTCTCAGCAGGTTGGCAAATGACACTGAACTGAGAGGAGTGACTGACATTTCAAAGGGTCATGCTGCCATCCAGAGGGACCTCAACACCCTGAAGAAATGGGCCAACAGGAACTTCAGGAAGTTCAACAAGTGCAAAGTCCTGCAGCTGGGGAGGTACAGCCTCATACACAAATATATGCTGGGGACCACTCAGATGTAAAGCAGCTTGGTAGAAAAGGACTTGGGGTCCTGCTGGACACTAGGGTGAACTTGAGCAAGCAGCATGCCCTTGCAGCAGAGAAGGCCGAGGATGTCCTCGGCTGCATTTGGAAAAGTACTGCCCACAGATCGAAGGAGTGGGTCCCCTCTACTCAGCACTGGTGAGGCCACATCTGGAGCTCTCTGTCCAGTTCTGGGCTCCTCAGTGTAAGACAGACATGGACAAACTTGAGACAGTTCAAAGAAGGACCACAAAGGTGATGGACTAGAACATCTCTCATGAGGAGGGGACAAGAGAGCTGGGACTCTTCATTAGAGAAGTTGCAGTGGGACCTCATCAATGCCCATGAACACCTGAGGGGAGGGTGCAAAGAGGACAGAGCCAGTCTCTGATAAGAGCCTCCCATGACAAGAGGCAGTGGGCACACACTGAGAGAGCTGCTGCAGAGCGAAATCTCATCTCAGCCATGCTAACATTCCCAATGTATCGACATTCCTACTTATTCCATTAGCCTAACTTTCAATATGAACTGTAATTGGTACTATTCCAATCTATCCTGCTCTTTGACATGACAGAAATGCTTCTGTCATGTGCCCAACAGTGAAATGTATTTGGAAAGAGGGCTGCTGCCATCCCATCTCTCCCTGGGGTCAGCATTCCTTATGGTGCCACCTTTCTCCTCAGCTTTATCTTACTTTGAATACTTATTTCTTCAGTGAAACATCAATGTGCACAAGATAGGGTGCAAACAAACTTCTTATTTAAAAGAATATTAATGGCTTGATGATACACTTTGGGGAGATAGCAGAAAGATATTGCTGCAGGGTAGCAAACTATGGGCTCATGCAATTGATTTGGTAATTGTTTCATTTTTTAGAACTGGCTTTTAGTTCACCAGATTTGCATATAAAGAAGGACATGAAGTGCCCAAGACCAGGTTGGATGGGGCCCTGAGCAACCTGATCTCATGGGTGACATCCCCATGGAAGGGGGATTGAAAGTAAATGAACTTTAAGGTTTCTTCCAACCCAAACAATTCTATGATTCTCTGTTTCTATGAATCCTGGTGAGCTCACACAAATATGTCTCAGAGTGAAAGTACAAGAGGCCTGAACACTTCCTGGGTTGACCTCTGCAATCCATGTGTTGCTGAGTACTGGGAAACTTGATTTAGAAGATAATCTGCTGGTGTTTAACACTAGGGAAAGTCCTCCTTGTTTTCAGTATTTCAGGTTGCTTTTAAATTATTTTGTATTTGTTCATGTTGATTACTATGTCTTAATTGTAAACAAAACTAGTATAAACTATTTTCATTTACTGGCCAACCACATAAATATCCTTTATAAAATAAGATTTTTAAAAGCCTTTCAATTCTTTTATTGTAGTTACATCACTTGTATAAAATATATCTGTTTGTACACATTATTTTTACAATGCCTTGGAGGAAGAGAGGTTTCTAGGTTTAACATCTGGTTAATAGCTTTTCTTATTACAAATATTTGCAAAAAATATGTTGCATTCTGGTGTTTACACTGAGAAATCAAAAAAGACAACTAAAACTGCCACAGTCTTCCAACTTGCAGTATCATTTCTCCATGCTCTAAACTGACGCACAGATGTTTTTGAGGCATTTTTGCTTTAAGGCTGGAAGAACACAAGAAAATGTTCATTAGGGTTTATGAGGAAATACTAAAAACATACATGAAGGTCAAATAATCCTTTTTTTTAATCCCTTAAAGATCATTATCAGATAAAATAGCTATCTGATGAAAGACAACAAATAGTCTTTGGATATGTAAAATTTTTTTGTTATATTTACACAATAAGGTATGTAGAGATATAGAGATACAAAGAGAAAACGTACTTACTGTGGGAGTAAGTAACTCTTTTGACTCTTTCACAGACATAACTTGCATTTTTCACAAACCAGGAATAGTATTCAACACAGTACCTGAAGATGTAGTTAAAGTTAGGAGAGTAGCAGCTTATCTTTCATTAAGGAAAGGGACTTTCACAAGGTCGTGTAGTGACAGGACAAGAGGGAATGACTCTAAACTGAATGAGAGCAAGTTTAGATTAGACATTGGGAAGAAATTCTTTACTAGAAGGGTGGTGAGGCACTGGCACGGGTTTTCCAGAGAAGTTGCGGATGCCCCATCCCTGTAAGTGTTCAAGGCCAGGCTAGATGAGGCTTTGAGCAACCTGGTCTATTGGAACATGTTCTCTGTCCATGTCAGGGGGATTGAAACTGGATGATCTTTGAGGTCCTTTCCAACCCAAACCATTATATGATTCTATAAGCACAGTATACCATGCTGGTACTATTGAATATGGAAATAAAAGGCTAGAGTCCAACTACAATGATGTCATTAGATATTTGGAAAAATGAAGCTGGGCTTTATTCACTTAGTCTGAATACAGTAAGCCAGATCAGGTACTGATCATTGCCCTGGGACCCATTTGGGTCTCAGCCAGCAGCCACAGACTCTCAAAAATAAGCATTAGTGATTGAAAATTGTCATTTGGAAAAAAACCTGATGGAGTATTTAAAGCAGAGAAGGAAAGAGAAACTAGTGCCAGGTTTTACCTCATGGCTTCCTTTCTGGAATATCTTCTCTGACCAACACAGAGGCACAGCTGAAAGAACCTACAGAGCTCCATCACACAGGGGTTGATCTTCTGCACTATAAGAGTGACAGGAGGGGAGGTCACACGAGGCTCTCTGAGGATTGCCTGTGGGCACCCTGGGGGAAAAAACACAGC